AAAAAAGTATAATAAATAAATGAAAACGCAGACTTACTTTGCTCTGCTTTAAGCTTTAGCTCAGCTGCTTTCTCACATCTTGGGCAGGAAACTTTTCCAAAAAAAGCAGAACAATTTCTTGTAAAATGGCTCTCAACTTTGGACTTTTTACGAGGCTGAACTCAGCTTCTCGTTTGCCAGCTTTTTGTTTGAATTTTTCCGTTCCACCTTAAATGGTGCCTATGGCGCTACAATGTAACTGCTGTACCATTTAAGGTGGAATGAGAGAATTTAAACAAGAAGCTGACTTCAGGATCAGGAAACCAGCTGGAGTGACAAGACGATGTCGAGAGTGGTGCTATGGATCCTGATGACCGGGCACGCTCCCCTGCTGGGATGTGGCATGTTTAACTAGTAACCACTTAATTAGTTAATTGTTAGTGACCTGTTTCAACATTTCCAGCTAATATGGCTTATCTAGAATTCTGGTTATAGTTATTTTCACTTACCCATCAATTTATCACTGTAGACATTATTGTACCCCGATAGCTGTAAACGTGTTTTTTCCATGAATCATTTCCATCATTTATTTAGTTTGGACTCCCAAATTGTTATGTGTTTACTTCTCTAACCATTCTGGACACATCCTCGAATTTTAGCAACTATGGCAAAGATAAAGTGACGCACCTTTCTGTGGTGGCTGAAGTGATATGAACACCTATACACCGATCAGGCATAACATTATGACCACCTCCTTGTTTCTACGCTCACTGTCCATTTTATCAGCTCCACTTACTATATAGGTGCACTTTGTAGTTCTACAGTTACAGACTGTAGTCCATCTGTTTCTCTGCATACTTTGTTAGCCCCCTTTTACCCTGTTCTTCAGTGGTCAGGACCCCCATGGACCCTCACAGAGCAGGTAGTATTTGGGTGGTGGATCATTCTCAGCACTGCAGTACCACTGATGTGGTGGTGGTATGTTAGTGTGTGTTGTTGGAGTTGTTAAACACCTCAGTGTCACTGCTGGGCTGAGATTAGTACACCAAACAAAAATATCCAGCCAACATTGTCCTGTGGGCAGCGTCCTGTGACCACTGATGAAGGACTAGAGGATGACCAACACAAACTGTGCAGCAGCAGATGAGCTATCGTCTCTGACTTTACATCTACAAGGTGGACTGACAAGTTAGGAGTGTCTAATAGAGTGGACAGTGAGTGGACACAGTGTTTAAAAACTCCAGCAGCACTGCTGTCTCATCCACTCAGACCAGCACAACACACACATACCACCACCATGTCAGTGTTACTGCAGTGCTGAGAATGATCCACCACCCAAATAGTACTTGCTCTGTGAGGGTCCATGAGGGTCCTGACCACTGAAGAACAGGGTAAAAGGGGGCTAACAAAGTATGCAGAGAAACAGATGGACTACAGTCTGTAACTGTAGAACTACAAAGTGCACCTATATAGTAAGTGGAGCTGATAAAATGGACAATGAGCGTAGAAACAAGGAGGTAGTCATAATGTTATGCCTGATCGGTGTGTATATATATATATATATATATATATATATATATATATATATATATATGTATATATATATTTCGATTTAAGTCAACTGTCATGATCATCTCATGAAGGTCAAGTAGCCTGATGAACACTGCCCTACTGTAAAATGTTACCAAATTATCATTAGCTTTAATTAATTCATACACAAACCACTCTTCCTCCCCCACTTTGCTGGTGCAGATGACTTCTTCCATTTAATATTTAAATAGTACAGCATAACCACAGTAATAACTCTGGACGTCTAAGGTTTAAAAACTGTAACTAATTTTATGTATAAAAACAACTCGACACTACAACCACAACCAAAAGCATATTACAAGGCATAGCATACCCACAAGGCCAAACAACATGCACCAGATGTGCCTATTCATTACACTAGTTACTTCCACAACGCACACTGCCACTATCTGCATTACATATCAAGGCACATGTCAAGTCCTATAATCTATTAGCCCGTGTAATGTGGTGTCACTTCCCACGACACACGCAGCACAGTTAAAGTAGCGAGCCTGTGCATTAGCCCATCTGTCTGAGCCCATACTGACACCATTATAACAACACTGTCAATAAAGGCAGACTGCAAAATATTTATGAAGGAGGGAAGGCTCCGTCCGGCCTCACTCAGTCTGCTGCACTGTGCCGCAGGCTAGTTGCCAGAGAGGAAGCCAGAGTGGGAGTGCGTTCCTCTGACTGTTTCTCCTCCGGCTGCTTCTGCTTCGGCTCTCCGTGTGCGTGCTTACCTTGTTGCTCTCAAAAAGTAAAGCATTGCTAAACTAAAATGTGGAGAATCTGCAATTTCGAAACAACACTGCTGCCCTTTGTGTCTAAACCTACTGAAAGAATTCCAGATCGTGACAAAGTCAAGGCCAATGCTGCTTCATTCATATTTATTATGAACATTTTTTTAAGACAGCAAGCTACATTCTTCATGTTAAGGTAGCCTTGAGGTGAACACAGAGTGACTCAGTTCAGTTATACTCAGTGCTACCTTAAGAGAATAGTCCAATATTTTTCCATCAGACATTTTCTTTTTGTGAAAGGTGTGAAATAAAACAATTATTTCACAGTAACATAAAATACATAAATGCAAAAATGTCAGGATTGGGACAAAAGCTGCTTCATTCATATTTACTCTGAAGATTTTTGACACAGCAAGTTATGCTTAGGTTTAAGGTAGCCTTGAGGTAAATCTAAAGTAACTTAGTTCAGTTTTACTTAGTGCTACCTTAAAAGAACAGTCCAGTTTTTGAATTTGGGGCAAAGCGAGCTTTGTAGTTAGATGTAAAGTGGCTTAAAGTGACATAAGGTATCTTAAATTAGTTTAGCTGTCTTAAAGGTACAGTCAACTTTTATTCCTTCAAAAACAAACGTATATCAGTTTAAGGTGGTTTTAAAGTGAACCTCTGTATAGTTCAGTAATGCTACTCCTTTTGTACCTCTGCTCTTAAATATGCTCTTAAAAGTAAAGGTGCCAAAACGAGTTCTTTGGAGCAATACCATAGAAGAACGCTTAAAGGTTCCTTAAAGGGCCTATCAATGAATTATTCTTGAGAGAACCATTTTTGGAAATAAGATGTATAAGTGAAAAACCTAAACAAGGTAAAACAAAACAAAACAACAACAACAAAACAAAACATGTAATATAAAGGTTCTGTACTGGTTAAAAGCTCTTCCTAGAACCACACGTCCAAGCCAAGAACCATTTAGTCACTCCTGTTTATTTGAACATCAAATGTACACACTTCAAAAAGTGGTTCTTTACTAAAAGCAATGGTGAAATCTTATTTTGTCCACTCTTTTTTCATTCTTTTTTGAGAAAATTTTGTGAGATGATGATGATGTCAAGGCATGCACTGTTTATTATAAACATTTTTGGGAAAGCAAGCTTTGTAATTAGGTTTAAGGTGGCTTAAGGTGAACACAAAGTAACAACTCATTGCTGTCTTACAAGAAAAATCGGTAACACTTTCTATGAATGATGATGTGTTTATAGATTGTAAACATCTATAAACACATTTATAACATGTTATAATGCATTCATACAGCATTATAAACATGATTATAAACATTTTACAGCCATGTTTATTATACGTTATGAATTGTTAATATAATGCATTATAAGTAGTGTTAATAACATGTTATACTGTCAGTGCCAAAGAAGTCAGTCCCAGCTTGGAGAGCGTAAAGTAAAGACAAATACCAAGCTAACGGTGGTGAACATTACCTTTCCCACATTGGGTAAAACACTGATGGCAGCACTAGTTTAAACTCTGACATTTGAAGCCTGTAATGTGCTTTATTGTGAATGTTTTACTGTTTCAGTAAATCCTTCAGTAAATACTTCAACTTGAAGCCTCACTCTGAACACTGGAGGAGGATTTAGTACAGTACGCTTCACTTTACTTAAAGTGGACAAATGCAACTTATGAGCTTTTATCATTTGTTATGATCAGCACTTATAATGTATTATGTTAACAATTCATAGTGCATAATAAGCATGGCTATAACGTATAATACATTTTTATAAATATTTATAGCCATGTTTATAATGCCTTATGAATGCATTATGTTATGAATGTGTTTATAGATGCTTACAAAGGTGACATTCATAGAAAGTGTTACCGAAAAATCCATTGTTTTTGCTGAAAAGCATAGTTTGCCCACATTTCACAATAACAATAAAGCATGAAAAAAAAAATAATGAAAAGAGTTTGTTATGAAGCTCATGTTAGCACTACTTCATTCATGTTCATAACATTTTTGAGAAAGCAACTGCATGATAAGTAAAGTGGCTAAGTGGCTTGAGATGAACCCAGAGAGACTCATTTCAGTTTAATTCAGAGCTGCTTTAAAAATACTCAATGTTTTTTCCAATGTGTATTTACAAAGTGATATAAAGTGTAAAAATGACTTCCCGTAGGCTTCTGAAGGGGCAAAAATGGGCCTCCAGTTTCTGGTTGTAAATGTTCTTGTGCAACCATAAGCATAAAACAGTTCTGTGGCATCACATGCTTGGGTTATTATGTGAATTATGAACGAACTTTGTACGATTTTCAGTATGATGTTGTAATTTATCTGTTAGCTTGTAATTTCAGTTTCCAGTGAAAGGGACAAAACTGGAAAGGGATCGGGCCTATTTGGACTGGATTAGATCTATGGGATTGTATTAAAATAAGAATTTAAATCAAACTCAAAGTTGTCTCTCTAATTTAAGAATCCAGTGCTCATACATAGCTAAAATGGTAGTAAACACTTTATAATGATAATAATCAGAAATCCATTCATAAGTGCCTCTTAAGTGAAAAAAGACCTTCATTAGTAACGTAAAATGAAAATAAAAATAAGGTCAAAGGCTATGAGGAAATGACTCTGTCTCTACTTTTTTTCTCTTCTTTCTTTCCCTCTTCACTACCCACCCCTCCTTCCATCCCATCCTCCATGATTCTCAGATGAGTTCAAGTCGTTCCTGAAGCGGCTGCCCTCCACACATTTCTTGCCTGTGAGCAGTGTCCACCTGCTTTGGGGCAGCGACTGGGACCTGCAGGCTCGCTACCGGCTCCTCCAGAGCTCACTGGAGGCCCAGAGGCTGAAGATCCAGCGCACGGCCCGAAAACTCTTCAGCCTCAGCGTCCGCTGCCACCACAATCCCAACCATCAGATGCCTAGAGAGAGGTGGGTCTCAATGTACGAAAACATCTTATACTTATTTTTCTCTTTCCAGAAAGAATGTTGATCTGGAGTACAGTATCAGTCAAAAGTTTGGACACACCTACTCATGCAAGTACAGTTTTCCAAATAAAAAAACAAAACAATATTCAACAAGTCTTGGCACTCTCTTCAGTAGCTTCATGAGGAGCCAGCTTGGATGCTTTTTCATGGCCGGGAGTCCAAGAGAGCACAATTGGCCTTGCTCTCAGGGTGGGTAGAATGCCCCCCTCCCACTCAACATGATGCTAGCCAGTTGACAGAACAGAACTGGCGGTTGGCACTTTCCCCCAAACGTGTTCAACTGTAATGACGTTGCATGGGCAGCAGCTCGAAAAGATGCGGTGGCTGGCTTCACAGCTCTCGGAGGAAGCCTGTGCTTCTCCCTTCTAGCACTGGTGGTATTGTGTGATTGGAGGTGTCCTAACTAGTGGGTAGAATTGGATACAACTAAATTTGGAAGAAAATTAGGGAAAAATCCAATAAATAAATAAAAAGAAATATATTCTCTTCAATATTTACTGAAGCTGGACAAGCACTTTTTGATGCTGAAGGTTTGGTAGCAATTAATGATTAGTAATAGGTCAGTTTTTGGCATTTAAATATTTTGTTTTGGAAAAGAATACATACATAACTTCACCAAAAAACATTTCAAGCATTTAAGCTTTTAAATCAGTGTCTTTGGTTCTGTAGAGTCTAGTTCCAAACACAATGTCTCACACCTGCTCCAGCTAATTAATGTCTTCGGGAACTCCTTGACTGAATGAATCAGATGAATTAGTTTTGGGTAAGGATGGGGGTGGTAGGGGGCATTTTAGATGCAGGTTAGAACTAAGCTCTGCAGGAAAGCCCATCTCCACACTCTCAAAAAAAGGTCCCAAACTGTCATTGGGGCAGTACCTCTTTTGTCACTGAGGAGTACCTTTATCTTCAATATCTTTCCGTTTAAATTATATTATTTAAAGTTGTATGATTATAATCATACCCTGTGTTATCTCCTGCCTTTTTTATTTTAATAGTTAAACATTATTTATTTATTTATTTTTTTTTATATTAAACATACCCTTCCTCTGGGAAAACGTATTTGAGGTGCACTTTTGGACCTTAAAACCACTGTTACACCTTTGAGACACCTTTACATTGTTTGTACCCTGATAAACACAAATGGTACCTGCTTAGTATCCTTCTTTCTCACAGTCCACTGCTTTAGATCACAATGTATTTAAGATTGTAAAACCATTTGTCCAAACATTTGATTGGTACTGTGTGTCTGGGCAGGTATTGCCAATGCTACAGATGTTTGATTTAAAGAAAAGTCTGCACAGAATATCTACTAAAGGAATTGATGCTATAAACAGTGGGTGTCTACAACAGTTTCAGGTGGTTTAGATTTAACAAATAGCATGAAAGTGGCAAAATTAACATTTCTGAGAGGCTCTGTAACACTTTCCTCATTACAGCCATTCTTGGAAATGGCACCAGTCACATAGCAGCTAATGCTGTAAACCCCCTTAGGCATTCCACTTTAACATCTAATGAAGGCTCCACATTAACGTAGAAAAGGTTATGTTTGCAGTAGGGGGTAAGAATACTGCTGATGGGTTTTAGCCAGTGGAAGACGCTTCAGCATAGATTTGTCTATGTAATAAGCCATAGACCATACTAAATTATTGCTGTAGATGTAATGTCAGTACACATTACACATTTTTATTTTGGGTTTAATGGTGCACAGATGCTATTATAGTAGGCCATGATGCTAAAAACGTAATCAAGCATCACAAAACCATTTCACCTTGATTAAAAGACTTCGACCTCCTTAACTGTTAACAACCAAAGAAGTTGCCAGATCTGTATACTGCAGATGTGAAAAAGGTGACATCTTGGCAAACGGAAGCATCTTGGGCATGTAGGCAATGTCCAAAAGTGCTTGTTCTAACAGCTACTTTAAGTTGTACCCAGGTAGAATCTCCATAGAAAAGAACTGACCAATAAAATGGGATGTTCTGGAGCAGCTGAATATGAACTTCAGGTCATCATGCTGAATGGCAAGTGTTGTATAAATCCCCCCCAGCATTTGGCTGTGGAGCAGTGGAACTGTGTTCTTTGGAGTGATAGAGCTCAATCTAGTACCTTTGGTATGAGTTGAAGTGATCCAGAACAAAACCATCCAACATCAGTACGTGACCTCACTAACGCTTTTGTGGCTGTATGCAATGTTCTAGCTTTCACAGAAGAGTAGAGGCTGCAGGAAAGAGGGAGCAAACTCCCTATTAATACCCTTAATTAGTATGAATAATGTTATAACATTTTTACTACAATGTCATAATGGAAAATAGAGGTATATAGTGTACAATCCAGGTTTTAGATGCTTCCCTTGCTTTTTTGCATTAAATGTATATTATGAACCTGTAATCCAGTACTGGTAGTTTCAGTAGTACAACTATATATATATATATATATATATATATATATATATATATATATATTTAAACAAAAAATATGTTTGCTTCAGACTTCAACTGGTTGGGATGGAGGAGGGGGGTTGACTGGCTTTTTGCAGATAAGACTTAGCAAACCTTAATCTAAGACATAGCAAACAGTTCTTTCTGCATTATGTGGTGGCAGGCTTGACAACCAGATTAGAGAGGAACATGAATTCTCAGGGAGAAAAAAAATAAACAAATAAATACAAATAATAAAAGCATATATCGCAAAACAACAACAGAGAAAATCAAGTGCAAACTGATAGTTGCATGAAAGGTTTGTAAATGCATCAAAAAATAACCCCAGTATGTATGAAGAGAAAAATAAATAAATAAGTAAAAAAGCAAAAATATTTGTTTATTGTGGATAAAGACGAGAACGTCAGCTGTCTCTAATGTGGAAGTAGCACACCCACGCCTCAACGGTGGCTTTGACAAGGTTTGTGCTGAAGCGTTATCAAAGGCAAGCAGAGCATAGTCAGGATTCTGTGGGGCACACATCAAGGACGTTTGATGGCGATGGGTGGGGGAGGTGCGAGAGAGGGAAGGAGGTAGGGGGGGAAAAGAGAGAGAGATGAACTCAGGGTGCCAGGGGTGTAAGAAGGAGCAGAGCGATGCGGTGCTGTAATGCCAGGTAAACACAGACCTTCACTGCCGCGCTAGCCTTATCAGCTCCGTGTAGCGCGACGAAAGAAAACGTTCGCTCACATTTTCTGCCCTAATTCTTTAAACGCGCTGCTTCAAAGTAGAATACTGTTTGTTTTACTGAGGCTAGAGAGTCTATTCCTATGTATGAGAGAGGCCTATTTTCCCAGTTCAAAGTCAGAGCGGCTAGTTTAGCGCGGAAGAACTAGAGCGCCAAATTAGCATGCAATTTGAATAAACTTGAATACGGCCCGCGACGGGGTAATAACTCTCCCCGGTAAACAAGCTCTGGAGAAAGACAGAGAGCTTGAAAGTAGTCCCATGCTGTCTTGAAATAACATTCTACTTAATAGGGTCTAATAGAGACAGATTTCCAACAAACCTTTCAAAACTAATAACTGTCAACTGCAACAATATAGAAACTCATTAAAAGCAGGAAGCAAAGTTTGAGAGCAGTTTCTTTACTTGCAGACCACTGAAAGCTTCATTTGTGAAGACGTGTGCCTGTCAAATCTCTCAAGATTGACTCCAACTGTCAAGAGGCGAATGCCCCCTCACTGTTTTTTAGAAAATTAATCTTCCAAAACATTCTGTTAAATACATGAGTGCCCATGGTAATAGGATATTTGCAACATCTTTGGTTGACTAACAGCAAATAGAAACACTCAAAAAGAGGATTTGCAGTGAGTTTTTTCAAGGATCTTGAAGTGGTAACTCAAACACTGCAAACTCATAAAAATAAAGGGTCTTAAATGATTCTTTGGGGAAAACTTTTAATTGGTTACTTCATGTTGAGGTTCTTCACATGGACACTACAAAAATGGTTCTTTAATGAGCCATCCATCAAAACGTTCTTAAGGGAGTCAAAAGTTGTTCTGCCATTAATGGTAATGTTACTGAACATAATCTGTCTTTATATCTCTTGATGGCATATGGCATCTGCCCTGACATGGTTCTTCCAGGTCAGGGGTTGGCAACCCAAATATTACGTAGAGCCGTTATGTCCATTCAGCAAAAATTAAACCACCAACATTTTATGTCCATTTTACTATCTTGGCTGTAAATATGTCTCAGTTTGTGCTAATGTTCTAGTGTAGGCTAACAAATTTAATGTAAACAAAAATGCAGATTTACTAGGCTCTGCTTCAAGCTTTAGCTCAGCTATAGCTGCTTTCCTCGCATTTCTGGCAGGAAGCTTTTCCACAAAAGTTGCAAAATGTCTCTTAACGTGTGATTTCAGCCTCTTGTTTGAATTTTCTCTTTCTGACTTAAACGGTACGTAAGGCAGCAGAATGTAACTGTCGCACCATTTAAGGTAAAACAGGAGAATTCGAACAAGAAACTGGCGAACAAAAAAACTGACTTCAGCTTTGTGACTTTTTAGTGTTTGACAGTTCCTTGCTGCAGATTAAATGTATCAGGACACCAGCTGAGAGTTTTTAAGTGCCAATAAGTCCATTCATCTCCAGATTCTCAATAATCTCAATAATAGATTGTCTTCAATCTTTCTTATTGCCTTTTGGTTAGCTACTAGCTAGGTCAGATTGTTTCCATTGCTATGGTGACCAGCAGTCTGTGTGCCAACCTTCAGGGTTAAAGGGAGGATCAACAGTTCTACATTAACTCCAGCATTTAAAACCATTTATTGTTAAACTGTGTTGAACGATCAGCAGAGCTTTATTTTACTGCAAAGGAGGATTTAGTTTTTACCTAAATATCTAATTCTGCTGTGGTGCCACAACAGGCCAGTAAAAGACTCACATGCAGCTCCGGAGCTGCATGTTGCTGACCCCTGTTCTAGATAATTGCTCCTAAGAACTCTTTTTGGCACTTTGATTT